AAATCCACGTCGCGGCCGTATAGTCCCATCGTTAAATGTAGGTTTGCTCGCACGAACTCTCTCGGCTGCTTCGCACGTGGTGGAGGGAATAAGCGGAGTAGTATCTTCCCGATGCGAATCTCTGAAAAAACATGTAACCCAACCCATTACTTCCCCTTTCTCCCCCTTATTCCTCTCCCGATAACATACATGTTACACAGCATATACACGCTCCTTGCATATATCCCACGTTTGACAAGGGTTAATTGCTCGAATACCAGATCGATGAGTTACGATCGGGGCCGGATCGTGGTAGATTGTTGCGTGGTTTAACGTCGCTCTCTCTATCTCTCTCCCTCCCTCCCTCTCTTTATTCTCTGATAATCTCTGGTGCAAGTTTAGGACGCACGGTTTAATAAAGGAAGGCGAGGGGTTGAATTTGCCTAACTATGACGCCGAGTATAAAAACGGCAAGATCTAGAAGAGAGAGGAGGAGGGGTATAAACTTTTTTACTCGAAATCTTCTTTCGAAGGCAAACAAGAACGAGCAAAGAGAATACAACGAGAAGGGTGTTGAAAATTAATCGAAGCGAAGTTGTTTGAAGGCGTTTCGCGTTCCTGGATATCACGCGATCGACCTCGCGCGAGATTATTTGTAAGCGGAGGCGAAACGTGGGTTGATTATTATACGAGAGAATCGAAGGGAAACGGTTAATTCGTGGAAATTATCTTTGCACGTGCGACCGACTTTTTCTTCTTTTACTTTTATGTATATATGTATATATACATATAGTACGAGTACTTTTGCAATTTTTGGGTTTAATAAGCGAGAAAAGTTTGTCCCCAGAGCGAAGGGGACGTCCACTCTGTGGAAATGGAAGTTTCACAAAGAAGAGGAAAACCAATATGTTCCGAAATGCAACATCCTGCAACTATATATATCCTTTCCTTCACACTCGCGCTTTTTCAAAGATACTCGATTCGGCCAACGGTTTAAAATCCATTTATATTCGGCGACGTTTACCGCGGATATTCGAATTCGATTTGAAAATCGGGCTCATCCCATGGCGAAGAACTCGAAATATTCGAATAAGCGGCTTGGCCCGACCTAAGAAAAGAAATATTCGAAGAGACGAGGAACGCTGGACGCTCGAAGTCGTCGGCTCGAAGGATCGGAATAAAATAAATTTTCTTTCTTTTGGCAACGTTTCAACCCCGATGCTTTATTCGAAACTGTGTCTCCTTGACCGGTTTAACACCGAAAACGTCTCTCGAAGGCTGCGCCTATACGCGAATTAATCCCTGCGACGCAACAATCTCGACAGTTTGTTGCCCGCCTGTTGCTCCATTCTTTCGAACGTTATGAAAATCTTACGAAAGTTTATTTTTTTATTCGTGGACTCTGATCAAATTTGCACGAATCGTCCTCCATTTTCACAAAAGGAAAATCACGAAACGTTTCACGAAGGTTTGAATGATTGATGATAAACGAGACAATCTGAAATTTAAGCGCTCGTCGAAAATTAATCGAAGTCTCGACGAAAAGTCTCTCTCTCTCTCTCTTTGACGTTAGAATCTTGGGATCTTCGAGGTCGGTTCACCTGACTTAATGGATAGAATAGATGAGAGAGAGAGCCGGATATTTTTATCTAAGGTAATAGCAGATCGGAGACGATAAGGTTTTTCCTCTCGTGGAAAAGGATTAGTCTTGATACACTGAAAGAAAACTCTTGAAAGAAAGAAAGCTTATTCCACGTTCTTTTCGTCGGAGATTCTATCCACGATGTAAATTACAAATGGCTTCTTCTCAACTTGTGAGATCGAATTCTTGAACCCTTGTTCTTCCCGATTACGAAGAAGCGATCGTACACATGCCGATATAATTTTTGTACCTCATGAGAGCGGTTCGTCGAATTCGAATACGAATACAAATGAGAAGAGACTGGCCGCATCGAATCATTCGAGGAAGAACGAATGTTGGAAATTTTGTGGTACAAACCCTTGGGTAGGCAAGGCATTATTGTTCCACGAAGGTGAATTTTCAAAATGGTGGAAAAGCATCGGAACAAGAGACTGGTCGTTGCAACCGGCGAGTGTTTATTTACTGGGCGCGAATCGTGCACGTGGCGCAATTTGCGCCACGGGAAAGTATGAATATTTCATACTCACTTGACTTGGTTTACATCTGAATGCAGGTTGATACCGCCGCCTTACTCGTCCGGGGCAGCAGGCGCACAGGATCCTCACGAACGCTCTGCAAAGGAAGAAGAAACGTGTCTCAAACGTTATGTTTCTTTCTGAATAATATTTTCCGAGACGAGAAAGTTGCAAGCCTCGGCGGAGCTTAGCCGTCGAAAATCATTTATTCGAAAGAAAAAGTCTTTGCGAATCCTGTGCAAAAAGAATCTCTTCTCGAATATTGCTACCTACGAAAGAGGAGATAGGGAAAAGCTTAATTTCCGAAAAATCTAAAATATTCTTATCTACTCTTCCAAGGAAATTGGTTCGCGGCCTCGAATGTTGGTCACGTCACGTTGGCCATTTTTAACGTCAAGATCGCATGACCGGAATGTTGTTTTAAATATCAACCTGCCCGCAAGTATTTGCATAGGTTCTATTGCAACGTAACCGTGACATGCGACCGCTACGCAAACAGAGGAATTTCATTCTCCACTCTCGAAAAATAATGTTCCAAAGGTCCGGGGATTTGCGATCTCAGCCGTCCATTTCCCCGTCCATTGATGATACACGAAATTCCAGGGATGAAATTTCACGCGAAAGGAATTGATCGAGGTTTTCGTTATCGAGGCTCGGTTGACGTGATAACAAGTTCACGGGTTGTTTCAACGATGCACGATAACATCTGACAAAGAGCATCGAGAACCTCGATTATCCTCGCCTGTCCAGCGAATCGCCTCGCAAAGAGCACCAGTCTCGCCTCTGTCCTTTCCCTAGGAATGTCGCTCCTTCGATTCCACCCTCTTCTCCTCGCTTCTTTGTGCTCGGCTGTCGTCGTATCGTTCGACGATAGCGAAGATAGAACGATAGAAACGAACTACGGAAAGGGGAGGAGCAAATGGGGGGGCGATCGAGGGTTCATCGTCGAAGGCGTAACGAGCGCTGAGAGGGAGCGAGAAGAATTTTCGAGATCTGCACCTTGCATCGCGAGCTTCTTGAGTCGGGCGACCGATCCCGCGAGGACCTCGATCATGATACTGGACGACATCGAGCACGCGGTCCTCTCGTTCGCGACGGATCTTCAAAGTCGTTTCGCCTTCTTGAAGTATTCCGGTGAAATGGAATTCGACACGAGAGAGCTCGCGTCGAACGCCATCGTTTTCGCGTCGAACGCCGCGAGTCTACGGGACGATCTGTACGTGATCGATCCCTGCACACGCGACTGCCCCTTCTTCGTCGTGCTCACGCAAGCGTTTCGAGACGAGCGCGCATTCCTCGCGGAGGCTGACGCTTTGGCCCGCTCCATGTGGACCCGAAGGATCTTCACCGTGGTC